AGCAAACCCTGGGAGCAGGGCAAACCCCACAGAGCAAATCCTGGGAGCAGGGCAAATCCCTCAGAGCCACCAGTGAGCTGGGCACCCGCAGGAGTTGGGAATGTGGCCCTTTGCTCTGGAGCTCAGCCCCTCTGCAAGCAGGAATTCTTTCCCACCCCCTATGGGCACCAGCTGAGGAGGGGGGAAGGTGAGCAGTGGGTGCTGAACTTGGCGTTGCAGATCAAAAACCCCAGACAGTGCAGGCTGGTTTTGCTCACCAGAATTCCTTTCATCCCTAATCCTATTGGAGAAAAAAAAGGTGTTTTCTCCTTATTGGTTTGTATTCAAAATTTCCTTTTATTTCCTTTGGACTTCTTCATACTTCCTCCTAAAGCTCTTGAATTCTGAAGTAGGTGCCTAAATGTCACCTTGGGCCGTAGGTGTCCCTGGGGTTTGGTCACTCCTGAAGCCCAAGGTGGATGTTTCACTCTCAGAGCCTTTACTGGCAGCGTGTCTGTAATGCCCAGTGACCTGTGAGTGTGGCCAGGGATGCTGAAAAAGAACCCAGACATTTCTGGGCTGTTTCTGCCCCATTCCACCACCAAGAGCCCTGCCTGCTGTTTGCTCCGTGAAAGCATGTGACAGCATGCTCAGCCTGAGGGGCTTCAGGGGCTGCCTGGGGGTCCAGGAACATCCCCCTGCCCCTCACCGGTGTCTGGGGGCTCTCGAAGGCACGAGGGGCACTGGCTCCAGCCGTGCCTGCCGTGTCCCTGTCTGGAAGCAGTGTCACTTTGGGCAGTGCAGTGGCAGCTCTGACTGACACAGCAGTCCCAGCCATCCTTTCCTTGCCCTTGCTCCCTTTTCCATTGCTTTTGGGCTAAGCATGTGCCCTTTCTTGCAGGATTTGAAATTCCTGACGGAGATGCAGAGAAGCTGATGCGCCCACAGGAGATTGTAGATTACATTGCAGATAAGAAGGATGTTTATGAGTGAAGCAGTTGCTCAGGGGTGAGTTCGGAGGTGCTCTGAGGGTGCCTGGGCACGCAGTGGGGTAGGGGCAGGGCAGGGTGATGTGTCACACGTGTGGCACAGGCGGGAGGGCCCAGCAGCTCAGGAGGGAGCTGGCAGCAGCTGTGGGTGCCAGCGGGGAGGGCAGGTGGGGGTGCTTTCCTGAGGGTCGGGTGTTTTCCTGAGGCACCTGCAGCTGGAGAGAGGATGTGGGGCTGAGCTTCTCCTTTTGTCCTGCCCGGCACATCCAGCACTCAGCTGGTCCCTGGGGCAGCACTGGGTGGCAAATTGCTCTCAGCCATGGCCCCCATCTCCCCGTGCCCCTTGGCCCCGTGCAGGGCGTGTGGGGGCACCGCAGCCCTGCCACCGCTGCCATTTCCTCTGCCACAGCCACAGCGGGAAGGAAATGGGCAGGAAAGGGTTATAGGAGCGGTCGGGAGGGCTGCAGGGGAAATGAGGTGGCCTCAGGCCAGCCTGCAGCACTGATCCACATTCTTGCCTGTTCCTGTGTGGCTCCAGGCTTCCCTCCAACTCCCTGGGGCAGGGGGGCTGGACCCTTCTCTGTCCAGGGCCAGGGTGGGAGCTGTGGCCTCTGGAGAGAACTGGGGGTTTCTTCTGTGCCTGTGTTCAGCGCTCAGCATGTCCTGACCCCCTTCTGTACCTTTGGCTGCTCGAAGGGATGTTAAACATGTGGATTTTGTTTTCCCAGGAGCTGTCCCACAGCAGGACTGGGCTGTTGCCGGCAGGGATGGATGGGAGCGCACGCACTGTCCCACTGCGGCCTTCTCTGGAAGCTGCACGTGGATGTTGTATTTAAAGATGTCTGAATGTGTTGTCCTTTGAAAACAAGAAAAAAAAAAAAACAGGAATAAAGAGTTAAGACCATTCTGGTGGTGGCTATTCTGTCTCACACAGTGGGTGGATCCTGGTGGTGGTGTTGGGGTGTGAAGGACACTCTGAGGACCCTGCCCTGAGATTTGGCTCTATCCTGCATGCTTGTAACTGTTTATTTCATCAGTGCTGATAAAAACAAATTCTATGTGAAAGGCTGCTGCTTTCCTGGTGGAAAATAAGGGGGGGAATGATTTTCCTGCTGCTGAACAGCAAATTCACATCGCTGTTCCTGTACACCCGGTTCATCTCAGCAGGGGAGCCTTGGTTTAACCCTCACGAGGCAGGAACGGGTTATTTCTGAACACTGCACAGTTTTTCCTCAGAGCCAAGAAACACTGACAGTTCACAGCGGCACTGCCAGGCTGGGAGCCAAGGAGGTGTCACTGGATAACGGATCCTCTGGCAATGGGGGAGGTAAGGATGGAAATGGAGCAGAGGCTGCAGTGCTGCACACGGTGCGTGTGTTGTGGGGTGTTCCAGGGTGTTCTCAGGAGCTGCACCTCACTGGGAGAGCCTGGCAGACCAGTGACCCTCTGCCTCCAGGGCACCTCTCACGGTGCCCTTGGAAACTTCTCCATGGCCCCACAGCCTGGCTGAGCTCTGAGGCGTTTTCTGAGCAGCTGCACAGCAAAGCAGGGGCCACAGGGCGGGTTTGGCTCTGTGCCTGTGGTGCTTTCCCCGTGGCCTGGACACAAGTATCTGATGGTGGGGAGTGGTCGCCGGGTTCCCTTGGCTGCGGTGACCCTGAGGGATGTGGGGAGGGACCTGCAGCCAGAGCTGACACTGGTGCCCTGGGGGAGCCTTTGTCGGGTTCCCGGAGTGGGGACTGGGGACAGGGTGGCAGAGCCCTGGGGACAGC